ATAGATCAAAGGGGGAAAGGGCGAACTCCCCTATTCCTTCTCCATCCAACTCCATTTATCTATGTATCCCTAGTCTCTATCGGTTTGAGAATCCAAGACCAAGCTTCAGATTTGTCGCTGCCACTAAGTCTTTTTGGAAGTCAGAAATGGTGTTAGAGTGGGCCGTGCTTGGTTACGTTGCAGCCGCGGAAGCCATCATGCTGCTTCTGTTGACCCTACTGGGTATCGACCGACTCCAGAAGGGCCTAATCCTGGTGACTCAGAACCTCCTCAAGCCTTTCTTCGTTGTGATTCCCTTCTGCTTGTTTTTGTTAATGGACATTTACTAGAACTATGAGACAAGCTAGAATTCTTTTTCAGCTTACGTTCTCATCTATAAAACACAACCTTAAATCCATAGCGTTGATAGATTAGATCTTATAAGAACAGTGCAAAAAACCTGAAGAATTTTATTGTTTCTGGACATCAAAGTAAAATCTGGAAAGTACAAATATTTAAGAGAACTAGCAAAGGAGTTCACCTTCTCGAAGACTTTGTTTTACTCGGTAAAGTTTCACATTTCTCAGGAGGCAAAACTTTTTTTCTCTCCTTTTTGACAGCTTTTTAGGCTTTCAACGGTTCTTCCTCTGAAGCGTTTTCAGAACTCGGAAGTAGGAGAGAGAGAGAGAGAGAGAGTTACAGAAGAGCAGAGCAACGTAAGTGTGTAAGGGCATGAAGTGGATTCTGGGAGGGAAGCAAGAAAGGGACCGAGTGTGAAGTGGATTCGAGGGGAAGAAGATGGTGAACAATGCTTTTTGGACGCAGGGGTATTTTAGGCATTATAAAAATTTACCAGGGACTAATTTGTCCTATTTTTTTGGATAATTACTTAAAGAAAGCCAATTTGAAGTTACTTTTTCAAAGTACTTCTTCCCCACTTTTTTACCAAACACCCATAAGTACTTAAAAACCACTTAATGTGTGATCCCATGTCTTAAAAGAAGTACTTCTTTTAAGTGTTCTCAAACAGGGCCTTAGTCTTTTTTTAAAAGGAAATGGGAGGTTTAGTATTTAGTAGAAATTTGAAGGAAGGTTTAAGTCTTTCACCCTTTAAAATAAAACATGTTAAGGTAGACAAAATAAATTATTTTTATAACTTTCAGTTTTTTAAATTTTTGGAAAATTTTAAATCTAAATTATTTATTTTAGTTTTTATAATTATAATTTTTAATTTTTATTAATTTAGTTGAAAATATTTATTTATTATTTTTATATAAATAATAAATATGTTTTCATTTATAATATAAAATTTATATGTAAATTAAAGAAAAATTCCACTCTAGTACACTGAACTTTGGGGGTAGTGTCAAGTTAGTACCCAAACTTTCAAACGTGTCACTGTAGTACTCAAACTTTCAAAAAGTGTCAAGTTGGTCCTTGTCGTTAACCGACCATCAATTATTTGGTCACGTGATGATATGTACAACTTAAATTTTTTGAAAATGTCAAAATTACCCTTCAAAAGAAGACACTGTTCATTGTCTTCTACCTTGAGACCAACTGTTGAGGTATTTGAGATTCTGGACTAATGAAGACACCGTTCATTGTCTTCTACCTTTAAATGGTAGACTCACCTCTAACCAGAACAGGAAGGAAGAACCAGGCCAGCCAAACTACACTGTCCTCTTTCCCTACCTCCAACTCAGAAGATCCACTGCAGGCCCACAAAACATTTAAAAAAAAAAAAAAGACACCAGGTTACATTACCCCGTCAGAAACATCTAAGTGGCATTCACATATTTTTTAGTTCATCCATCATCATCGGTTTGCTAGTTTTGCAGTTTTAGTTTGTATAGTGATGGCTACCATCGGGCGTTAGCTAAAATAGCAGTAACCACTTTTTCGAATTAAAAATGACTGACGCAACACACACTGAAAATAGTAAAAACTAAATTGAGTTGTACTTTGTTTTATTCACTCACATTTGTCTGCAGCAGAGGATGGCCAGAGGATGGAGACTTATGCCAAGGCCACAGATGATGATGCAGAGGTAGGTTGCACTCCTGCTCAACCATAATGGTATTATTAAAATGTTCATTGACTGCCAAGTGTGATTTTTTTTTCTTTTATTGCAGTGAAGGGGAAGAAGACAGCCATAAAGTCAAGAACCAAGCAGTCACTTGTAAAATGGGGAAGAGGAAAAGGGTTGTTTTCGTAATTAAAAGGAGAATTTCAAATATCTATGATATCTCTTTTGTTGACACAGCCACCGGGTGACCGGGGGATCTTTGTATGCCAGGGAGGAGGAATCCAATGCAAGAAAATGTACACCAAAGTAACGACAGTACAATTAGAACTAGATAGGCCACTGACGGAGAAGGGGAAGCTTTTACAGGTGGTGATGAAAGCTGGGCCTCTACTTCAAACACTTCTCCTGGCAAGACCTCTGCCTCAGTGGCGAGATCCCCCTCCTTTGCCTGATGCCCTCAAGATCCCACCAATGACCATTCCTTCACCACCTCCACTACCGCCACCTGTTCTCCTACACCAGGATTCTTTTATCAACACCATCGATGATTTCTATCTTCAGTGAATGAGATTCTCTTCATCGTTGACGTTAATACCTGAATCTATAACCAGTTTGATATCGGAGGTGGTTAATGGTTAAAGATTAGATATCAATCATAAGAAAATTAGATGATAGATGATGGGTATTTTTATCCTTTTATATGGTACTTAACATCCGTTAATGGTTTTGGACCAACTTGACACTTTCGAAAGTTTAGGTACTGTAGTGACACATTTGAAAGTTCAGGTACTAACTTGACACTACCCCCAAAATTCAGGATATGAAAGTAGAATTTTCCCTAAATAAATTATTTTTATAATTTTTAAATTTTATTAAATTAAAAAAATAAATCTTAAATTATTTATTTCAGCTTTTATAATTATACTTTTCAATTTTTATTAAAGTTCAAAAAAAATCCAAAAACAACCAACATATAGTTTTGTCAAACTAGGCACCAATACGATGGCAAATCATGCTGATACACAGGACTCATGGTATGTTGTATGCATACCATATTGATGCTTTAAACAGATCAAAATCAAACAATTCAATCAGAGAAATCAAAAATTAAATAATAAAATATAAAAATATATCAAAAAATTCATATTTGTAAATGAAAAAACAATAAATCCACATCTACACCAAGATTCAACTGGTTATCAAGTTTGGATAATGTTTATACATTTTCTTAGAACTTATTTAGATTTATATATTTATGAATATCAACAATAACTATATTAGTTTCCTAAGAAATAAGATATGGACATTCTTATTTTTTTATTAACATTTAACTAGTATGTTGCAAGTTCCAACAGGTTAATTCTTACATAAATCATCATGGTACATGATTCTTATATATATATAGTGTTATTACCATATTTTTTGAGATTTATTTAAAACTCTTTGGCATATCCATGTCTTATTTTTCTAACTGAAACATATTCCAATATCTCTTAAAATTGCTTCTCAACAATATTGGCTTTGTAGCTCTAAGGTAAACCATCTGTCCTTTAGGAAGCATGTAGGGTGGCACACCCAACCTAACTCTAAGATGGTAGATGTGGTCTGACCCGAGGGCTGGTTGAAGCATTGCCACATCACCTAACCTAGCTCTAAGATCGTAGATGTGGTAAGACCGGAGAGCTGGTTGAAGCATTGCCACATCACATTACATAGGTAGCCCATCTATCAAATAAGTCATTTGGGTTCAGAAAGCAAGTTTTCAAAGAAAGAAGAAACCTCAGTCTCTCACTTGATGAGAGTTGAGATCATGATGTGGGTCAAGTGGCTCGCAGTTATTCTTTACTTTTTATTGTTTACTCTTTAAATTGTTAAATGTTCAAGTTTTTTATTTTATATTTGAAATTTTAAAGTTAATTATTTTAATTGACATTTTTCATGTAATTTTTCTTTATTTTTTAAATTTCAATTATTTTTTGGGATGACCCGAATTGACCCATGTGTCAACCCTAATCCAAACATTTAGAGTTAGGGTCTAACATTTGACAACCCAACCCGAATCAACCTGAAATACCTTGACCCAACCCGAACCCGACCCACCCAGCCCAATTGCCAGGTCTACTAGTCACTGATGTTATGACCAAATCCTTTGTTAGAACCATTATCACTTCAAGCAATTCCATATGCAATTTCGCTACCATCCGCTTAATTTCACCAATCCTTTGCCAGTTTCTCTCTCCCTCTAGTTTTGACTGCGTTTGGGAATAGTGCAAATACCAAAATGCATTTGTGTATTGACAATGATAAAAAAATACAATTTCCAATACATATTTACACCCAAAATGAGAGGTAATTTTTAACATTGGAATTTATTTTTGCATCCATTACAACTAAAAAATAGTTTGGTAAGAAAGTTGATTTATCAATGCAAAACTAAACCAACTTACTTTCATTTATATGGACCAAAATGCACTCTGCATATTTACACTCTATTTGCACCCTTCCCAAACACAGTCTTTCTTTTTCTCTTTTTTTCTTTTTGGTAAACAAAAGACCAAATTTCTAAACCCCGGAAAGTAGTATGGTTTTACTTGTGGATATACCTTTAACCTACAAGCTTTCTGTGATGCGTAAACAAAAATTAAAACAGGGAAAAAAATCATGACCTCTATAGAAACTTACTTTTCTGTTCTGTAGAAGTGTTGGAGCTTATTCAAGCTAGTATCTTCTGGTTGCATTTGTTACAATTGATCTTTCGGATTGAACTTCTTAATACTCCAGTTTTCATGTATCCCTGCCGGGTAGGACTCGAAATTATTTGATTCTTGGAGAAAAAATATACACCAAAAGAGACTACTAGAGATTACCTCGAGGAAGAAAACTTTCACCTCTTAATAGAACTACTGTCCAAACAAGAGTGTTGCACCTTCGAAACTCCACTGGTTTACGTTCCTTTTACCTATAGAAATACACTGTTGCATGAAAAATAACATTATGAGAAGTGACTATATGGGCCAATCTGACAGACCACATAGATGTCATCCATAAAGAATTCCAGACAAATTTTGCTCATATTTACAGTGCAATGCTCCTTACCATAACAATCCAACATCAGAAAAAAAAAAAAAAAGAAAACGAAAAAGAAAAGTAACTCCATAGCACATGATGAAATGTTCTATTCTTTAAGGAACAAAAATTGCATCCCTTTGATGGTAATAGTCACTTCCCATCTTTATTCAGCTTTAGATTTATAAATATTATAGATATTTCCTTACAACCATCATTTTCCAAGAGATTCAATGCTATAATTCAAGGGTTTCCAATGCTCACAGGGAACGAACATCCTAAACAATGTGAACTTGCAAAAACATCACATGTTCAATTCCTTGATGCCACTACTGTGGTATGATGCCATGGGCCTAAGATCCTGTATAGACTCCACATCTTTGTAGGTCCCAACCTCTCTCAATGATTGCCATCCATTACGGGTCAGAAGTTCATGGAAATCATCTTCACAGTACAAGGTTGCATCTTCACTACTAATTGCCTGCCCATTGCATTCATCGTAGTGATAAAGCTTAATTGTAACACCTGAAAAATAACAGCCCATCAGAACTTGCATCTGAAATCATGGATAAGAAAGAAGTTTTGACTTCTAAAATTGATATTTACCATGAAATCAGGGGGAAAAGAATAGGAAGAAACATATATGATACTCCTTGGGCCAAGCCCAAGTGACACCAACTCCATTTATATGCACGTACAGACAAAATTGAAAGAATTTTGAGGGTCGAGAGTTCCAACACACACAAATATTCATTCCATTATAATAGAAGTGGTATGCAGCTATTATTCTTTAATTTCTGACGACAGCTTTGAGTTTCGACCAACTATTTCGCTTCTTCAACATAACTTTTTCACTAATAGACTATTCTTTGAGCTTCAACACAAGTTTTATCTCTCTAAATGAATAGACTAGAAAAACATTCTGGTCATGTTGATTTTGGTGTAGGCAATCTCTTAGACTGGATCCATTTAACACCTCTCTAAAATGTCCTGTAAATGGGGCAGATGGCAGCTGAAAAGTACACACGTAGCAGTTCCCATGTGGAACGCCTAAACGCAAGTCTGCAACTATGCCCATAAATAATAATCAAGAAACAGACTGCATCATCTTTGAGAGTCAAACCTAACTTCTCTAATGTGCAACAAGAGGAAATATTGTGCAGAGACTTCCTTACAGATCAAAGAACATCATAATTTAACTAGGGCAACAATCCCATGGAATAGAACCTATGGTTAGAACGGTAATAACTGCAGAGAAAATGAGTCATACACCACTAAACAATCAACTATTAATATTCTACATGGTAAATCTGATACGTCTGTGTGGAGACAAAACACAGGTAACAAGGCACCCAACATGCAAGCCAACTAGTAATATTCTACATGAGATATCTTTGAATATGTTGTAATATGGACAGATTGGAAACTCCTCTCAACAACTATCTTAGTGAAAAACCAGTGGGATCCTAATCATCCAATCCTTGACAAAGCCTGCCCAATTCATTCAGATCAGATCAGATGGGGTTGGGTTGATATGCTATAGGGTCAATTCAAGATTGACAAGTGCAGGATCTAGTTCTGACTCTTGGGCCCTTGGCAGTCCTAGTCAGTGAAATTGAAACAAGCAATCTATCTAAATTTTTGGAGACCGACCAGGATCAATATGAAGAGTATAAGTAGTTTGCGGCATGGCACGATCGAAACTCCTCACAACACCATCATCATCTTCAACCCAAAAAGGCCGTTTTGACCTCAGCCCAAAAGCACTTCTAATGGCATCCTTGATGGCATCTGCAGATCCATCAATTCCTATTCTGCGAGTGATCTCTCCCCATTTTACAATAATGACATGCCCTGCAGGAAGTGGAGAAGAAATAGGATAGCAGCCCATGCTACTGTCCCATTGAGGCACATCTGCCAAAAGAAAGAAAAGAAAAAAAGAAGCATCAGCAACAGCAATGTGAGATCATTATAATTACATATAGTAATATACATATACATGTGTGTGTGTAATTATAACATATATATAAATTATGTATATATTACCAGCAGAGTTGTCATCTCTCCAACCCCATGCGCTTCTTCCACTCTGTGAAGGACATTCTTGAGACAACACAGAGTTTGTACTTTGCCCATCTCCCTCTGATCTCTGAAGAGTTATAGTGGATGACTCCAAGCCTGACAATCATACTGCATAAATATATTGGTGCATTGGTAGAACAAGAGAATCGTATACCACTAAACAGAAATAAGTTAGCCAATCACAGCATTTTGACCATTGATGCCAACAGAGCAAATATGTCCAAGAAATAAGCCAGACTAAGAGGAAGACTATAACTAAAAATTGTGTCTCTATTCTTGTCCTAGGTGACAACTCCAAGTGGAGACTATGTATATCCTGTTTTCCATCAAATTAAGGGAAGGACAAAGCAGCCAAACAAGCCTTTGGTAACAAGCAAATGCCAATCAGAAAACGAACAAACCCTTTAACCCATTCAAACTGCAAGCAAAATCCAACCTGAAACCAAGATCCATATTGTTATCAAGAAAAAGATTAACAGACAACAAAAGCAATCATGATTTCCACTCACGCAAATGCTCTGTGGCCTTCCACTCTGCTTCTTACTCAATAAAATCTTTTGCAATCCATCCATGCAAAAGAGATTGAGGGACTACCACTAAAATAATTGAACCAACTGATTTAGTGCCCAATTGCCTGTCAATATTTATTTCACTAAACCATAAAGGAAACAAAATTGATGCTAAAAAGTTCCAAAATCATTTTTCATCCCATTTCAAATAGCATCAAATCCATGCCTTATCTCAATTATATGGGGTCAGCCACATGAATCCTGTTTCACCAATCCATTCTATTTAATGCCATATTCACAGTTAAATTATGAGTGTGTAAATCATTTCTTATTACTTCCACCCATGTCCCTTTTGGCCTACCCCTAGCCCCTTCAACTTGTAACAAATCAATTCTTCTAATTGGTGCTGTTGATGGTCTTCTATGCACGTGACCAAACCATCTTAGTCTACTTTCCCTCATTTTATCACCTATTGGAGCGTTACTCCTAGGTTCCCACAAATGACTCCATTCCTGATGAAATTCAGATATGAAAGTTACCTTAGGGTTTTAAAAACCCAAACCCCCCTTGGTAAATAATAATTCATTAGTTATGTTTACAATATTGCTAATTTGGTGTTGATAATACCATTGACATGTTTTTTTATCTTTTCCATCTTGCCTTGTTTTTCCTATTACACTTTTTCCATTAATTTTTTTTAGCTGAACAGAGTCCTGTATTTACTAACTCAATCCATCCTCAAGTATGCCAGCCATGCATTCTTGATGCTAAAGTTCTAGATTACAATCAGGGCTTTAAATGCTAAAATGATGAAGGAAAGGCCTTTGGGAAGAAAAGTATGCTTTTCACATTATTTAAATTATGGAATGCAAAAGACTAGAGTTCCAAAAGATGGATATCACACCACCCAAAGATAATAGAAGCCAAGCATCAAAGAAAAGAAGTATCACTATAAAAAGAAAAAAAAAATCAAACAAAAATTTTCAATTTCATTATATTGAAAAAAATATATCATCTATGGGAAATTTAAATTATTTGACCTAGTAAGAAACTCTTTACATCCAACTTTTATCAATGCATACCTTCACATTTTCTTGAGTTCTAAAATAATTAATGGGTCATTTATAACAACTGAAATGGCTGGACTTAATGACTTTTGCTTTGACTTTTAGTGATTGTCGGATGGCTTGAAATAAGTTTTCTAACTAGGGTAAGACATTTAATGGATAACTAGACTAAGAAATTGATTATATCCAAAAGGATAATGATGCCCAAAAAGATAATGATGGGTTCTCCAATTTCTCAACCTTATCAGGTATGTCGTGTGTACTGGTGATAGGATTCTCTTTTGAGAAGACACCTGGATTGGTATGTCCACCCTTAAAGACCTTTATCCATCTTTGTATTCCCTCTCCCTTTTTAAAAGCGAACCAATTCAAACTTTAGTTTCTTTCTCCCAGTCCTTTGGCTTCAATTGGAATTTGGGTTTTAGAAGAGATCTAAGAGACTTTGAACTTGATCAACCTCCTTTGTTACTCAAAACCTTAGACTCTGTTTGTTTGGACTTTTCTAAACCTGATGCTAGAATCTGGATTCCCAATTCTTTGGATCTTTTTTCTTGTGCCTCATTTTTCTCTCAGTTGCGCTCAGTCCCTAACTGAGAGCCCATTCCCCCCAAGGTTGGAGCCCTTTGTTAGGAAGTCTCTCTTGGGAAATTAAACACTTTGGATACCTTGCAAAACAAAAGGCCCAACCTTTGCATTTTCCCAAGATGGTGTTTCCTTTGCAAAGCAATTGGAGAGAGCTGTTACCATCTTATAATTTCTTGCCCTTTTGTTGTAAATATTTGGGGAAAAAAATGGTCTTTTGGGTGTAGGTGGATTGCAAATCAGGGGGCTTTTCGACCCTACAACTTTCAGGTGGCCTAAGAGAAGAGGTAGAGTTTTATGAAGATGTGTAGGGGCTGCTTTAGTATGGACAGTTTGGGAAGAAAGAAATAACAGGATCTTTAGGGATGTAAGTACTGTTTGGGAATGTCTGCTGATAAGGGCTATCAACTGGGTCAAAACTTTGGATTTATTCACTTTTCTCCTTTGATGACATATAGAGAAACTGGGAATTTGTTGCAAACTCTTCTTTGGTTAAGGGCAAACCTATTGTAGACTAGAAGCCCTCAAAAGAAGCCTTCATAAAGCTCAACTTTGACAGCAGTAGCCTTGGCAATCCTAGACCTTCTGGTATTGGGGGTGTATTTAGGAATGAAGAGGGACAGATTGCTGCATTATTCTCTGGCCCAATTGGAGTTGGGGATGTGGTTAGTGCAGACTGCAGAGGTGCAAGCTGCTGTACAGGGAGTACAAATTGCTAAAGAGTTGAACTTTGGGAGGTTGATCATTGAAGGTGACTCTAAAGTGGTAACTGGGTGGCTAAAAGAACCAAAGACAGTAGCTTGGTCTTTTAGGGGAGAGATGATGAGGTTCAAGTGGCTTACTTCTAATCTCACAGTGAGAGTTCAGTGGGAGAGGAGGTCGGCAAATGGGCTGGCTGACCTACTAGCTAAGCAAGGGGTAAACAGGGATCACTTATTATGGGCTCAATTGTAATTTTACTTTGTTTTTAAGGCAGCAATACACGCCTTCTGGGAGAACTTTGTTTCGTATCCACTTGTCAGTTTACTTTATTTATTCATCTTAATGAAATACTTCATGATTCATCAAAAAAATGATAATGATCGATTAGGATCCATGATACTTCCTACAACTCTTAGCCAAAGAAAGACACGGATGCTTTTAAAGTTCATAAATCAGCAAGCATATTTTAAGTTGCATCTTAAGATCTTCATAAAACATTTTGTAAATTCAAACTAGCCATCTTAATTTAAATTGGAATGGTGTTAAAGGTTACAAAGGTAAAAGTCAGGTCAATAATGTCATTGAAACATGTAAGATGTTGTAACGTAACATTTAAATTTTGCATCATAAATCAACTGATCAAGAAAAAAAATGAATTTTTTGACAAGTGGGAAAGAAATTATAAAATCATTACATCAAATTTTCAAATCAGAATTACAAAAAAGGGAAAAATACAAAAGAAAAATAACTCATCTTCACATCATTTTGAAAATTCAAGTTAATATAAATACAAGAAACGTGTCAGAAATCTTTAGCTCTTGTTTCTTGTTTTGTGATGCAGAAAAGTAGGTTAAAAGTAAAATAATAAATGGGATCAAGTAGTGAAGGGATTATGCTATGCAGCAGGTCAGTTGGAAGAGGAAAATGGATGGAGTTGATGAATGATCAATCATGGTCCATGGTGATGGTGATGAAGGGTGGTGGGACAGGTATGAAGATTGTGGAGATCTGATCCAATAATCAGAATCTAGCACAAGGTGGGAATAGGATATCATTTGGCCGGTCTTCACCTGCAGTTTAACGTATCACCAACAGGTCAGTTAGGGAGAAATAAAACTGCTGCAAATCAAAGAAGGGAAAAAAACCTCTTAAGATGAAAAAGTCTTTTCTACAAACAAGGTTACAAACTCTTATACTGCCATTGGCTCAATTACTAAGTTCCAAAAATACATATTAGCTTGCACATAATCATCTCATGTTCAGCACGACATTGCATAAACAAGACTAATCTGCTTCAACAACATGGTAACTCAGCACAACCTCGAAAAACACCACTTTTATAATAGTATGTACTAATACTTAATCAGTGATTAGTATTCTAAAACTAGAAGTAATACCTAGACTATAGGGTCCGTTATGTTTAATAGCAAACCGATCTTTATAGGATATCAGTGGATATGACTGAAATTTAAGTCACCCCACCGAGATATCAAAAAATCACAACAATCGTCGCTGTGGTCATTTCAAGACCATCTGATCATGGTACAAATTATTGAAGTATCAGCAGTGGTCATTGACATTTAAAACGTCAACATTTATCTATAAATTGGCTATAACTCCAGAGAAATAAACGATAGTTTAGTTATCACAACATCGCACCGAGTGTGCAGAAGAGGTTACCTTTAGGGATTGGTTGCAGGGTTTCGAGGTTGAGATGATAGGAATCGAATGTGGAGTCTCTGAAGAACGGGGATGGGGGGCGAGAATGTTGGTGATTGTGATGTTGGTTATTCTTGAGCTTGCGAACTAGACTTCGCCATTTCTCTCTACAACCATCTGGTGAGCGTCGGTAGCCTCTATCTCTCATCTTAAAAGAGATTCGACTCCATTCGACCGACTGGATAGTGGTAGTTATAGTAACAGTAATAGTAGGATCAGAGGACGATGAAGAATAAGCTTTGTTGTCGGTGGCAGTGGTAAAGGCGAGGAGGTCGCAGATCTCGGACTTGGCCTATGGCCTACACCTCCGACGTCGGCGACGACGAGCGCTCGGCCCGTCTCGATCGCCCAAATCGCTGTCGAAATGAGCCTGTTGGCCAACGCGCGGCGTCGCCCACTCCATTTTCCCTTTTTATTCTTCCTTGTTTTTTTATCAATAAGGCAATTTCTATGATGCCGGAAGTGTATGATATCAGAAAAAACTTTGACCAATCAGAACCCCGTGAATTTTGATGAATACCCCCATGCCAGTTGATTGGTTATCATTTCTTTTAGATATCATGCCTTCTTCGTATCGTAGTTGAGCTCAATTAATAATGATATATTTGCATTTTTCCTTTTTCAATTTTCGGCCCATAAATGGAGTCGGCCCAAGTTTAGGGAGCCTAGGACTGTTGAGTCTTTTTACTTTTTCGGAGGGGCTATATAACAGAGGATAGCCCATCCCTCAACCATAAATGGAAAAATTCAAGTTTTAAAAACGTACCCGAAACCGATTTGGCCACTGGTTTTCGGGTTTACTGTTCAACCATCCGGTTTGAATGGATGGTCCCGTTCCAACAAAAAAAAATAAAAAATGTTCAAAACCATTGAATGAGTCAACGGTTCGACTGCCTGAGTTAATGAATCGTTAATCAATTTACTTGTTTTTGGCCAGAGATCGAGTTTGAGATAAAATAAAACTGACTGCCTAGAAAATTCCCAAGCTTAAGTCAACAATTCGGAGACATTGGATAAATTCATAAACCCCACAACCCAAGTGTCGTCTATTCTTCAATTCTATACTATCTATACTCTATATACAAATCATGATGGTCTATATCACATTGTCACATGGTCTCTCCTTTCTCCAAACCCCCCTTCTCCTCTTTCATTTCTCCATTACCTCCCTCCCTGCCCTCTCCTTGAGCCATATTAACAAGGCTCTTCTTTCTCCTATTGGTCATCACTTCCCAATTACCTAAAAATCTTCTTAAAATATCCTTCTCCTAAAGTCTCTCTTAAATCTTCCTAAAATATCTATTTCTAATCGACCCCATATTTTTTCCTAAAGATCTCTTAATTACTTTATATTCATTTGCCTAGACCAATAAAAAAGAGACATCTTAAAGAAGGGATAAAGAAAGAACTTGAATTATTAATGGGTATAACATATAATATGGGCCCCATGTGTTAACATTACATGTACTATTTAAATTCAATTTTAAAATAATGAAAAATAAACACAACAATTACGGGTTTTCCTTCACACCTAATTTATAATGACAAATTTGAACATTTTTAAAAATTTTGAATAATAGTAAACTAAGCATAATATCATAACTTAAATAAATACATCAATGACAAATTGCTAAATAAATTAAATTTTAATAAAAGTAAAAATTACTAATTTAAAGTTGATTTAAATTCAATTTTAAAATAATGAAAAATAAACACAGATCGGATTCAATATGAATTTGCCTTCACCCTGCCCTCACCGTTAATGCTTCTACTTGAACCTAACATAATGACATATAGTTTTCGAACTTGACCCAACCCTTTAAGGGTTCAACCTGATACCAACAAGACTAGACTTTCTTCTTTGCAATTGTATTTTTATCAGTGCATTTGAAAACCCAAGTAAAGAAGCAATCTAACCCACCCCTATTGGGGCTCCAACTTTGACGTATTTGTCCCAATGTTTTAAAAATTGGCCCAGACCATAACCATTTTAGCCATCGGTTTGACGGTCTGGTTTTAATGAAAGACCTATTGCAAGTTTAAAAAAAATTAAAATAAAATAGCTAAAACCATTTTGGGGTTAAATAAGTTGATGGTTTGGCTGCCCATGTTATTGACCAAGTCAACAGTTTTTGGCAAAGGAATAGTTCAAGGGTGAAATGGAAACTGGTTGTTTGGATGGTTTCTAGGCCAAATGATCTGACCGTTTGGGTCAATGACAATTCAGAAAACTATGATTTGTCCATCCCACCCTGAGCTTGATACTAACCTCCCAATAGATGATGTGTATGATATATTAATTTATATTATATTTTATATTTTTATATGACACCTATACTGTATATTATATATAATAGTTTATATTTTCTATAAAAATATAATATTTTATAAAATAGATTTTATATAACGCATAATATTGTATAATTCATGATTTTTGAACCATCATTGACGTGGATAATTGGACCGTTTGGCCCAAAAATAGTCCAGATAACTGATTCCATTTTGTCTTAAATCGTTCTTTTGTCAAAAATCATTGACTTAATTAGTGACCTACTAACTTGAGTGGTCAAACCATCAATCCGTTCGACTTGAAAAATGGTTTTTAGCCATTTTTATTTTAATTAATTTTATATATTTTTTAATTGAAACTGGCCATCCATCGGACTGGACGGTTGAACGATTGGCCTAGAAATCGATGGTCAAAACGTTTTTGGTTTTGAGTTGATTTTTAAAACATCTATATAATCAACACCAATAAATATTATTAAAAATAAAAATTTAATGATTTTTTGTATCAATTTAATGAAATTTAATACAGCTTTGTCAAACAATGGATACTACAAAAATAATGCCTGTGATGGATTTAGTGTGACTTAACCCAATAAGAATAGCTTAATTTCTTATAATAAAACGTATGTATCACACGTGTCCTGACTAATATAATAATATACAATATACCTCGAAGATTGGGCTGAGCTGAGATTTGGGTTGGACTGGTTTGGGCTTGATTTGAGCTCTAGCTGAGCTATTCAAGGTCAAAGCCTAAGACCAGTCCATTATCCATGGAAGACAAAAACTAAAGGTTCAAGGCACAGGCTAAGGTGGACTTAAGACCAAGCTCAAGCCTAATTCATGCAAAAAATTAGATTGGGCCACGTCGGCCTCAAGAAGTCAAGAAAACGCAGAAGAGCTGATTTGATGATCATGAGCCCAATTCTAAAACTAATCGGTCTTTACCTTTCACCTGAGAGAGAGAGGGAGAAATTTGTTGAGACCGGGCTTCATATATAGTGTTTCACACTGACCTCACAAGTATATTTCATCATGTATCGGAAATATTTCTTGTATTTATTTATTATTATTTATGGGAGATGTTCCCAATCCCAAGTCATTGTGAGGCGCCCTGTGTGAGGAGCAGATCCCAATTCTGCTTTGTTAAGTAATTAGTAACCAGCACACCAAACAACCAAAAGCAGAGTTCAAACCTGTGCCCCACCGCCTCTCGCCCCACACACTGAGCATCCACCACTTGTCCATTCGCATACGGTCAGCATTCCCACGTGCGGGGCTAACGGGATGGCCGTTAGTTTGTCCCGTTAGCCCCAAAACTAGCCCAAAACCCTCATTTCTACATTCCCACCCCCTCAACTGATCCCTCGTGCTTGAACTAGCCATCCCATGACCCCCGTTCTTCTCCCCTCCACCTGAACTCTCCTTCTCTGGCATCGGCGACCACTCCGGTGAGTTCACCTTGACTAGGTATTCCCCAACACTCATTTTGCTATTTTGTTTTTTCATTTCAAATCAAATAAACCCCTGTTCTCTGATATTTTGTATATGTTTGGTTCCGTTTATGTTTTTTGAGTAAACGTTTATTGACGGTGCCACATAGGTGCCCCGTCAGAAAATGCCTCATTAATTGTATTTGTGTGTATCGAAAAGCAAACTTCAGTTTTTGTGCGCCTCTCCCGTTTCAAGAAGCTTCATTTTGGAGCTTCTTGAAATAGGTAGGCGTTTATTGGCATTTTTGCTGATGTGGTGCCTAATGGCGCCTATGTGTCATAAACGCCCTCATTAATTGTTTTTCTTGATTTTGCAGTCAAATAAATATAAAATGTTTACTGAATAAATATGGAACCAAACACCCTCTTTGTTTTTTCTGATATTTTGTTTTTTTTTTTTTAATTTCAAATTATAAACACCACCACCACGATCATCCGGCCATTTCACTGTCATAGGTACTCTCCAACTCTCATATCATCACTCTTTCACAAGACATCTCGAGAGATTCCTCAATGCCATTCTATATTGGATTCGCCCTGTGGACAAGAACTTGGGTTTGGACGTTTGATAGCTAATACAATGCCAAAACTTCGCCATCTTGAACTTGGGTTTGGACGTTTCAATGATCGTGGTCTCGATGTCATCTTTACCAAGTGTAGGGCCCTTACTCCTCAAGGGTGTTGGAGTGTGAAATTAGAGGGAGATCTTGAGGATAAGTGCAGCCAGCTTGTGGTCTTTTAAGGACCCTTGGGATGATGATTATGATGAGGCACGTTCTTTCAGAAAATGAGGGTGATTGTGCGGATGAAGTTGCAGAATCCTCTTCCTCAACTCTGACTAGATAGCAACTTGATTTTAGCCTTGTAGAATCCTCTTCCTCAATCTATTCTGTTGCCGGTGTTTTCTCTAATTTGAAATAGAAAAATAAAATATCAGAAAAGAATAAGAAAGATGTGTGAAAAAGTGATGATATGAGAGATGGAGAGTATCTGTGATAGTGAAATGGGTGGATGATCGCCGATGGTCATTGTAGATGGTCGGTGGTTTCTCTGATTTGAAATGAGAAAATAAAATATCGGAGAACAGGGGTTTATCTGATTTGAAATGAAAAAACGAAATAGCAAAACAAAATATGAGTGTTGGAGAATACCTGGTCAAAGTGAACTCACTGGAGCGGTCGCCAGTGCCGGAGAAGGAAAACTCAGGTGGAGGGGAGAAGAACGGGGTCAGGGGATGGCCAGTTCAAGCATAAGGGATCGATTGAGGGGGCAGGGATGTAGAAATGAAGGTTTTGGGCTAGTTTTGGGGCTAACGGGACAAACTAACGGCCATACCATTAGCCCTGCACGCAGGAATACTGACCCATGCGAATGGACAGGTGGCGGACGCTCGGTGTGTGGGGCGAGAGATGGTGAGGCGCAGATTTGAACTCCCAAAAGCACCAAATGACCAATGTAGCACCGATCAAGTTTGATTAATCAGAGTCCAAGTTTCGAAATTAAACGTTATTAAACCTGATTTGCATCTCAAAAAGAAAAAGAAAAATTACAGACCTATTCTCGGTGCCCCATTTGATAGCAACTCCTCTCTAGTGCAATTAGAAACTGCTAATGTCTTTGGTTTCCCAATCAGACTA